ATCTCTGTAAGGTATGGCACAGCTCTGGGCGCTGATGGCAAGTTGTTCCTTGTCATAACCTGCAGTAGGGTTAGGCAGAAATAATGTTTTTCCGGGGCTGTCCAAAACGCACCAAGCACGTGAAGCAGAGCTCTGGAGCCCGTCCTCAGGAGGGTGTTACAGTCTGTGCAGATGTTTGCAGGACTGTGCAGAAGAGGATACAGAGATTTGTTTCAATCTCACTGCTGGAGTTAAAGCCATAATGAAGAAGGGGCTCCAGGCTTCCTGAGGCACCTTACTCAAACCATTACAGGATTTTGCACTGTAAATCCTGGCTGCACTTGTCTCCCGAACTCTGTGAGGCTGGACTTCTGTTGCAGTTGTGTACAACTTCCTCCATCTGAGGATTAAGTCTGCAGCTAGTGCCTGAATGATGGGAGCCATGTCCTGTGCGGCTTTTGAGGCTGGGATGTCCTTTGCTGGGGTGAAAGGCAGTGTCGTGGAGGTGCTGCTGTCCCGCTCCTGCCCGGCACAGGACCGAGAGCCCCTTTGCTGGTGTCCTTCATGCACAGTGGCTCCCTGAAGAGGAGCTGCGCTGCAGCGGCCAGGGCGCTCACGTGGTGTTTGCAGCACATGCATAGATGTTCCTCCAGCATTCACTGCGCTGCTGGCTGTGATACTAAACCAATAACTCACTGTTGGAAAGCTGGTGTTAGTTCCAGTGGTTGTGCTGACTTGGAGAAGGTTTATGGAGTTAACCGAGCAGCAGCTAGCAAGTTGGAGGGCTTTGTTTTACCCCTCCCAACTGCCTTCCTCTTTCTGATCTCACAGGAATAAGGCTTCTCATATCCCCTGTGATGGTATGGCCTCTACCCTACAGCACTGAGGAAATAGTAAATGTGCTCAGAGCAACTGAGTTCTACCATATCTTATAATAAGATATTCCCATACTGCTCAGAGTGCATCAGCTACGTGTCCCTGTACCCAGGGTGTTGCTTAGAGCAACGTTTCAGGAGGTTGCCAGCAGGGCTACAGCCTTCAGGAGCTTCAGTTGCTGCAACACTGAACACTGAGTGTGCAGGAACTGGCACAGGGCTTGGGCCCGAAGACTGAGTCAGGAGCCGAGTCCATGAAAACTGCTGAGAGGCTTTCCAGTAGGGCTTTGGTCTGCGACATGAAAGCTGCCCAGTGTATTCCTGGGGAAGGTGTCGGGCTGGGGGGCTCTGTGAAAGGCAGAGGCTTTGCAGGGAGCTGTAAAGCACAGGCTGAATAATCCCCCTTTGCCTTGCTCTTCAACTCATTAGAAGAAGCTGGGCTCTTGGTTTTGAGTGTTCCAGCTGACGGCTAAGGGTAGTTCTTCAGAGGGGAACTGTTTCAGACTGGTGTTTTGGGCAGAGCTGGTGTTTTTGAGAAGCATTTCTGTAGGCAGTGGGGCTGAAACACATCTTTCTGGAGTAGCTGCGTGTATCTGAACTGTCAGCTGAGTAAATACTTCATCACTGATTGCAGTAGGGTCACTTAGTCTTTTTTGCAAAGGTTGTAGCTTTGCTTCCAGGTTCTCGTGGAGGATCAGTACCTCGTGCAAGCAGGTGACTGAAGGCAGCTGTCAAAAACAGGCACCTTTGTTATCGCCCCTACGGGACAGCTGTCCCCTCAGTCAGAGCAGCTGCTGCTTTCCCTGGATTCAACTGCTTGGAGCAGCCTGCATGAAGTTGTGGATGGGGTAAGGGAACCAGTTGGACTTGAGGGAGACTTTCAGCATAGGGAGCTGCAGAACGGGTGCCGTACCTGTGCCACGTGCTGCAGGCACTCGCTGGCACGGAGCGTGGAGCAGCTGCCCAGGAGGAGCAGCGCTAGCAGCGTGGCTTCTGAAAACTAAAATTAGGTGGACTGTAGGTCACTAAGAGATGCAAATGGTTATTCTCCTTAGCGAGAACATCTATCACTTTGGGTGCTCTTCCACAGCTGGTACTGGACACGTAGCAAAGTGCATGGGTAACAGCCCCAAAATCCACGTGTTAGGCGTAGGTCTGTGGGCAGGATCTGGGGCTGCCTCGCTGTTGTGATCACGGGTGGGAGAGCGACCAAATGAACTTTTGCCAGAAGTCTCCCAAGACAGTTGACCAAATTAAATTTTTGTCCCTGTAAAACTGAGCCCGACTGGTGCAGTTACTGCCATTAAAGTGGTTATTAGGTAATAGATGCATTTGGCAGAGACAGAATCAGGCTTATTTATTGAAAATTTGAAAACTGTCAGCTTTCAAAACACATCTGTCTTGTAAGCTAGCGAAGGAAGAAGTGGCGTAAAATAAATAACATTGTCAAATACATCTTAACTGGGGTGGCTGTTACTTCACCACATTTGTCACTTGTCCTTTTATCTCCTGGTAAGATGGAGATGCTTCATCTTGTAATTTCACCAGAAGGAGCTTTTCTGTGCAGTGCTCAGGACCATGCAAAGATCGCTGTCCCAGCACATTCCCGGTCAAAGGGCTGGTTCTGCAGAGGGCTGTTGCTGTACTTTGACGTGGATCAACTCCACTGCAAGGTAAATAGGAAGTGTTTCTCATCAGGCACAGGCTTTATGAAGTCAGCTTGTGTTAACCTGGGATATGGGTAGGGTAAAAGAAGCCTCAGTTTACCAGTGACAGATTATAATAATGTCCTTCTAGAATGCCAAGGAGCACACAGCGGGAGGTGAAAAGATGTCTGTTAAAATAGACATCAGTGCTTACTCCTGCTTGAGCTGTGGGACCTTTGCCTTGTAAAATGTCACAACATCTGTGTGGGGATTAGAGGACACGAACTCGACTATCCTTTTTGTGCCACCAGTTGACAAAAAGGGAGCAGAGAAACTGCACTCACTGGTCTAATTATTGCTCTTTTGCTGTTGCTTCTAGACAGTGTTGATCAGTGCTGTCGGAGCAGGGGTCACAACTGGAAGAGTCTGAACTGAATTTGAGAATTTACATTTACTGACTCAGCCTGATCTTTGGAGATAAAAGGACAACTCCAGGGATCTCCTGCCCAGCTGCCTCCTGGCAGTTTGCCTCTTTCTTTTTGTAAGAAGAAAATATTAATGCAAATGGGCATGCTTATGGGCAGTTTGGCAGAATCTGCCCGGGCTGTCAACTGTGCTGGCAGAAGCACATCCTTCTGAAAAACCTAGCACAAAACATCGGGAGTGAGTCCGCAGAGACAAGGCGGTGTTTGGACTAAGTTTGGTCTGCCTGTCCCCTGCGTCCCCTTATCCTCTGTGTTGCTTTTCTGCAAAAAGCTCTCACGTGAAGCCATGGAAAGGCTTCGGTGCAAAAGTGGGCACGTGTTGTCTGCTGCTTTATGAAAGAGGCTGCGGATCCGTAGCCCAACAAGCATTGTGAAACCCTGCTAGGGGCAGGAGGCAGTGGGGCAAGGTGGAGTCCAGGGTGAGAGCTGTGCTCTGGGAGCAGCCCTGAGCTCCAGTACTGCTTGGCTCAGCTTTGAGTCGGATGCAGTGAGACCTCATAGCAGCAGCAGGTTTCCATGCTTGGTGTCCGTTGACTTTCTGGTAAGGTGGTGGTTTATGAAGAGCGAGATGACATCTGGATGCCCTTCTCCGATTGTTCCAGTAGGTGGGAGCCCCTTCATCTAGGCAGGGAGAAACTTCCACTTCACTGGCTTTAGCTCTCCGTGTTTGCACAAATCCCCAGCTGCTCAGCTTCGCTCCTGCCTTAGCATTCCCAGGCGTCTTCCCAGCTGCTTGTCCTGACAGCAGGCCCCCAGCAGCGGACACGATCGTTGTATCTCCATCGGTGGCCTTGCTAGCCAGTTTTGCCTGTTGATGCTTTTTGTTGTATTGCCATTATTGCCATATCTGCTTCTTGTACGGGAAGGGGGGTGGAGGGGATCGGTAATAGCAGCTCCTGCAGGACATACCTTAGGTTTGTCCTAACCTTCTGGTTTCAAAATGCGATGCTGTAATAACCAGGACAGCCAGGCTCCTGCCTCTGGGAACGTTGGACGTAACATAGGAGCTAGAGCTACTGGTTCAGCACCTATTTCCACCGGGCACTAGAGCTGTTTGGCTTGTTTTAGTTGTGATTTTAGTATGTCCATTGGATACCTTACTTGGCCTTTCTGTTGTATGTGGTAGCACCTGTACAGAAGTAAGACAACTGGAAATTCTCTGTTTAGTTCTGCTAACAGGATGTTCCATTATGTTAGTGTTTCCTAAACTCACACTGGTTGTTCAGTGCTTGTTCAGTAAGTGTTCAGCAGTAAGGACTATTTATTTCTGCATGTTAAAGCTCATTCTCGTGTTCAGAGCGATGATGAAATGCCTTCAACTGACCCGCGGTCCAGCCGAGCACACAGCATACAGTACTCTTCAAGAAACACAAAAGCTGCTTATGGGTGTGTTTATGTGAAGTATAATAAGTTCCATACCGTACCTTGGCACATCTACTGAGGTCATTTATGGCAATTTATATTTCAGTCCCCACCCAGGCCCTTCTTAATAAGCCAACTGGGAGGTAGTGAGACTAAAGGGGGAAACTTCTAAGTAAGTTGTCAGTGGGATACCGATTGTCTGCTTTGTAGCAGCTCTTTGGAAAACTGGTAATAAATGCATTGAAGTGGTGGGATTTAGTGAAGTGTGGGGAAAAGGGGGGGGATGTTAATTGTGTTTACAGATGAACAAATAAAATGCATCTGAATTGTGGAAGAGTTAACAATAAAAGTAGTGAGGTCCATCCTGGCTGCTTTGCAGCTTGGGATAATAGTTCCCAGTTGCAATGATATTTCATTTTAAATACGTTTCTTATATAAAAGGGTAAAACAGCAAAAATTCTAACAAATAGCTTTGTTTGCAATGACTTTCTACCAAAAACATTGCAGATGAAGTATGCTTCCATAGGCTGTCATTGCATTTTGTAGCAGGAGATTAAGCCTATAGTGGTAGCACTTCTAATATGTAATATTTTTGTTGTTACTGTTTAGATTAATTCAAGATTTCTATTCTCTCTTTCTTCCCTCACGTCTAGCAAAACTGTACAATCTAAAGTGGACTGCATTTTGGTAAGTACAACTCCAGAATGCTTTTTAATATTTGATAGAACTGTAAGACCAAAATAGACAGCTCTGGAGACCGAGAGTTGTTGTCATGTTGTTCCTTGACAATACTTTAAGGTACTACCTCTAAATCTGTTCAAAAGTAGTTCATGTTGCCCACCACCCAAAAAAATGCATGGTGTAGATTTGGTACTCATTTTCCAGGGAAACATTGCCCTCTTTCTAGCAACAGCAAGTGATTTCCCTTTGCAGAGGCTATCAGTATAGATATGACTTAGAAAGATGCCTTACTGCTTTTGTACACATGTTTTTGTTAAAAGAGGTATTATGGATTGCAGAGATCAGAATCTGCAAGAAGCTAATTGTGCCTTCAGGTTCCGTTGCTCTTTAGGTTGCTAATGACAATGATTATTGCTCTTGTTGTTTCCTTGAATAGTTAATTCATGCCCAGTGCCACGTTTTAAGGAAGGAACTAGATTGAACTGCATGTTTGCACAAAGCCTGTCAGACAAATGCCCTGGTCCGTGAAAGTCTTGCTCATGTCATAATTGTCAGATTATTTGTTTATTTTAAATCTTGCCAGCCTCTGAAGTTGTGCACTATCTTGACTACCTTCCCAGAAGTGAGCAATGCTACAGGTCCTGTTAGTTCAGCTGTACGTTAAACAGATGCTTCATTCCTTGAAGAAAGGAAAGCCCTTGAAATACATCAAGATCACATTCCTTTGTGCAATAAAATAACAGAATCCTAGCCAGTGAGTAGAGGTAATTTCTGGGAAGCAAATATCTAGGACAAACTGAGAGGATTTGTTTGTATTTAATAGTGAGCAATAGGTTTCAAGTTTCTTTAAATCAGAGTTTGAGTTCATAAGTCTTAAGACTGGAAGGGACTGCTTATTCTGACTTCCTACCTTTGGCATTTCATCCAGAAGTACCAGCGGGTAAGATAAAAACATGACATAGACAACCATCTGGATACTATCAAATAGAATCTGTTCCGCTATATGGCTGAGCTAAATAAGAATATTCCTTGAAGTCGTGTTGTCAAAGGCTAATTCAGATGGCATTGAATTCTGTTTCCTTTAAATGTTACCTTAATTTGTCATGGTGAGAGATTTCAAGGAAGCTTTATTGTTGTTCTGCAAGCAGACTTTGGACCCGGTTTTACCTATGCTTAAAAGAATTCCTGGATGCATCCAACTACACGTGATGCATAATGTCATTTCTGTCCTATTTATTCCTCAGTGGTGTCTGTGGATACAAAGCAGGTGAATATAAGATATTTCGTACATGAGCCTTCATTTGCAAGAGGGCAAACTGCACCTGTAAAATTCTTAACACCAGCTTTTTCTGCAGTGAAATGAAAGTCTGGTAGGAGTTCTTAAGTAGCATCAGAGAGTGAATAAACAAGCAGCAGTTAACTTGTCACCTGCTCTTGGAAACCTGTTTTAAGAAAACGGAATTTACAGTAGGACTGTTCTTGCATTAAATTCTGCCGATTCATGAATCTAGGATACTTAAGTAGAGATTCACAGTCGGTGTGAGCCAGTGTTACCATTCGTCTGCACAAGTTGATGGTGATCATCCACCAGGTGTTTTTCTGAACAGTGCTCTTGCACGCAAAGCAATCTCCATAGCTTGGCTTGGGACAGAGCAGGGATTTCCTGATGGCCTGATTTTCTATTCCAGTTGCTTTCTTGTCTGTCCTGCTGATGAGTTCAGAGGAGTCCTATCAACAGTGGAAAGGTGACTGTAGGGCAGCAAAGGTAGATCAAATGCTGTTCAGGTAGTTTGAAAAAGCAAAATGTAAGACCAGAATAGTTTCAAGAAACAAAAATGAAGCTGAATCATGTCAAAACAGTTTCTGCATTTTATATGCTTTTGGAAAGCTGTAAGCTGCAAGACAGAATGTAGAAGTATGTTAAGCTAAAAGGCTGTGACCATACACCTGGAGATGAATTGTTTGGAGCTTCCTTGCAGACCTATCCAGTGTTGGCCTGTAGAGGGCAGGATGAGGAGGTTTCCTCACTGTTGGACTGTGTATGGGTTTGTCCAAATGGTCTGTGACGGGTATTTGGACCTGACCAGTACCCAGCTGCTTGCTGCAGAGTCTGAGCCCAAGGTTACAGGCAGGTCAGAACGCTTCCTTCAAGTGCACTTCCTTAGATTTGCATCAGATAGCAATGATCTCAGGGCTCCTGAATCAGTCTCATGAGGTATAAAGGGCCAATGCTCAGCCCTTGCAGCATTTACTGTAAAGGGGAGATCTGTGACCAGCTTTCAGTTATGTTGAGAGGTACTGGTAATGGCTTAAAGCATTTAAACTTTACCAGTTTGCTAGTAATTGTAAAAAATAAATACATAAATAACAAAGATCAGACTCTGCTTGTTGCCATTTGTGTTTGGTAGCCCCAGCCCCAATGTGCAGAGCAGCACATGGATGCCCTTTAGGACATAGGCTGCCTAACACAGGATAGGAAGAAAAAGGGAGAAGAAACAAAGGTGGTGGCAGTTGTCTCTGCGGTGGGCAGCTAGCATCAGAGGACTGCAGAAAACAGCTAGTGTAAGGGCACTAGGACGGTAATTTTTATTTATACAAGAGACGAAAGTTATCTGCCTCTTACTTGTTACATTGCACCATTTCCATCTGACATACTGTCAGTTTCTGGAAGATCATAAGAATATTGTATGCCGTGCAATCCAAAAAAAGGGTAATTAGCAAGAATTGTGGTGTAAACAGCCATTAAAAATTCATTATAACATCTTTTTAACTGTAGTAAACATGTCTGGAAGTCTCCTCTGACTTTGCTTGTTATATTTCTTGCCACATACTAACTGAACTCTTGAACCTGCTGTAACGAAGTGTACGCTCCATGTAGTTGCTTAGCAAGAAGGCTAAGGCTGCTTTCCTCAGTCCTCTGAAAAGAGCTGAGTGCTGGTGAGAGGTGGCTGGCTCGATGGCTGTGCAAACCAAAGCTGCCAGTGGCCGGAGCAGTGGCAGTGTGGGCAGCAGCAGTGAGTGCACTGTGCTGGTGAAGCAACCTGCCTCCGTCCTGCTGCGCCCAAGGTGGGGGCTTGGCGCTTTTTGGCCCTACAGGAACCAGGCAGAAGCTCTGGGTAGCTTTGGCAGCTGTACTTGGACACTGTCAGTGCTGAGCTGCCAGGTATTTTTAGGGCTTGTTTAGGAATATTTAGCACCTGAAATACGTTTCTGCTTCTGTTCATCTCAAGCCTACAAAATATGTTTCTGAGCATCTCTTTAGAATAATAGGTTCTGTTTCAATTTAGCTATCTGCTTTCTGGATCATTTTTCCAACAAACAATCTGACCTTGAGCAAATTATTTAACCTTTGCTTCTTGTTTCTCTCTTCACACAGTGGGGAGATGATTGCTTGACTACTCTGCTATTCTTAGTCTGGTTGTTAAATAATAGATGTTTGTTCTTTTGAAATATGACAGGTTTTAGAACCAGTCTGCCAGTATGTGCAAGTTACATTGCCATTGGCATAGCCTTTTTTACTTAGATTAGAATATAGTTATATATAAATACTCAAAATGTGGAGAGAAATACTAAGATCAGTCCATGCTCTCTAAAATAGTAGTATTGCAAAATGCTTGCAGCAGTGCCCCTGGCCTTCAGCTCATTTTCACCAGAACCTTAGGACAGAAATAACCTGTAATTCTACCTTCATTGGAGAAGTGTAAAATAAGTCAAAGTTAAATTCAGCATTCAAGAAACTGTAATTCTGGTAATTGTTGCTTAGTGTTTTTTCCCTCTATCTCATTTTAAGTTGGGCCTGACTAAATGTTTTCTTAAAAAACAAAAAACAAAACAAAACTATTCCTTGGAGTTTTCCATGGTAATCCATTCTGGCAACAATAAGATGAAATTTGAGTAACACTTGTGACCTGCCAGTGGATCAGCAGTTGGAGAAAAACAGATAGAAAGATTCAATCCATCAAAGTCAGGAAACTTCAAATGATATTATGTGAATCTGGAGACTCAAGTTGAAGTCTGGCTTCTCCAAGCAGGACCGTGAGTCTCATGTTTCCTGCGTTACAGATGAATTCCTTAGCTATGTTCTGTGTTGAACTGATCTTTTGTCTTTTGTGCCATGAAAAATTTCATGTCTAGCTAGTGTCAGTATGGAACCAGATGTCAAAAACTATTTTTGATTAAAAAAAAGTTGCTATTACTTTACAGCTGCTTATTTGCTCAAAGAAAATGCCTGTTAGAATTAAAAAGAAACTTGCTTGTGTTCCTAAGAGGTCCTTGTTCTGTATTGTTCGTAGTCAGTAAAAGGACAGAATCGTTTGGACCAGATCTATATTGTTTGTATGCACAAATGGATTTCTGGTTTAATTTATTTGCTCCATATTTTGTTCATTTCTTTGGTGAATTGTCTGTCTTGGGTGACTACCAAAATGAAGAAAAATGCCAGAGACTTCTACTTCTTTATATATTACCGTAAGGCTTTCCTTGTCTGTGACTTGAGATTTCTAGTTCTTTGTCCTGTTTTTCTCTGTAAAATTACTAAAATATTTTGAATACTTGCTGTGTATTTTTTTGGTTAAATTGAAGCCAAATTGTAAGAAATAAGTATGAACGCTCCTTGCTCCCCATCTTCACAGTATCTTCCTTCGTTTGATGTGGTTCCAATTACAGGAGATAAATATAATGTGTGAAGACCCAGAATAGCAGAGTGGGGCTTTGTGATGGCTTTACACCTCAGCCATACAACCAGGTTAGCGCTCTCATGCGTCTTTCTAATGCAGCTTCAAGAAGTAAGGTTTATAAATAACCTTTGGAGAATTAAACATTCTTCAGCTGATTTGATAGAAACAGTTAAGGTCTGTTAACTTCAAGCAAAAAATGTACTTAGGTCTTTTTAAATAGTGAGGAAAGATTCCCCAGACATTTTACATTCTGCATGGATATAAAAACTACTGTAGCATAAACTTTAAGTGGCTACACAAAGGGGAATTTGTCCAAGATGATGCCAGCATTGCAGTTTTCCTTTTGATGCTCTGACTCTTTTCCACTCTGTTCCACATTTCGATTTCTGCCAAACATGATATTGACCTATTTTCTTAGTGGGAAATAAGAAGAGAAGTGTTAGTATGTTTTGTGTTGTGCTTTCTTTTCATTCATTTTCATATGTATCCAACTTAAGACAAAGTGAAATTCAGGATGCATTAACTTTTTTTTGTTTTTTTAACTTGGTCAGAGATCTGTTGTCAGTAGGCCAGATGAAATGCTCCTCTGCTTTCCCAAATGCTTTTCTGATTGCATTAAGAATTAGAAAGTTTTGATACTTGGAGCAGTCACAGTAACAGAATTCACTGGAGCCTTACCACTGAGAGCTGGTAGATAAGGGCTACGGTTCAGTAAGAAGTTGTACTTAATGAGGCTGTAAATAAAGTTTTGAGAGTTTTAGGAACATTCAGAGAAAACAGCCTAAGCAAAACATAATGTTCAGAATTTTTTAAGCAAAACATTGTTCCCCGAATCTATTAGCAGCGTCACATTCAATGCCTTTGGTGCAACTTCTTCAGCTTCGAGATGTTTTTGTCTAAATAGATTCAGTCTCATTTAATAAGCTTAGCTTTATCTAATTATCACCCACGTAGGATTACCTCCAGGAACTTGCTCTGCATCCCGGCTGCGTGTTTTCTCTCCCATTTGATGGAAGGGCCTGCCTCCCCGGGAGCTCTGCATAGCCGTCGCTGCAAGCTGGGGGAGCTGTGCAGAAAGTGCAGCCTGTGGAGAAGAGTGGGTTTTAAGTGAAAGCAGAGGGAAAATGCTACTGTCTGGCTTCCTCTGCTGAGGACATGAGCGCCCTAATCCTCAACTGCCTTAGCCCCAGGGATGCAGTTGCGCTGGTGAGAGTTGTTGGTTCACTGGCAACTTCTGAAAAAGGTTCTGCTACCATAATCCCATCAGATTTCTTCTCTACACGTAAATCAGGTTTTGTTTGAACGAATGCTTGTCAGAGGGGACCTGCATAGCAGTGTCTGCAGCATGGGCAGGGCCTTCGTGTGCAGCCCTTTCCTTCAGCTGGGAGACAGCAAAGTTGCTTCAGCTGCAGTGGGCGCTGAGGCTGCTTCAGCATTTTCTGATGAAAGTCTAAAACCAGCCCTTACGCCGCGAAGTAGCACGAAGTAGCACGTTAGATTTGGAAACAAGAGGTTGTTTTCCACTTCGATGTCAGAGTCATTAGGGCTTTTTTTGTTTTGCAGAGGATCTCACCTGACCCATGTCTTTTGGTGATCTTTAAAATCCCTCCCAGCCCATGCTGTGATTCTCTTGATTCTAAGCACATGGAAAACAAGGAAGTCTAATAAACAAGTGGGAATTTTCTTGCAGCTGTTTCATTCTTACCTTTTCATAAGTTTTTATTTTCTCTAAAATGTTTCTTTGGAGAATGATCTCAGTAGTGTTTTTTAATAAAACCATTAAACCATTATTGATGGTGGAAGGAGCACCATTGCAAATGCCATCATGTGTGCGGGGAAGGAAGAACAGAGAGAATTTTACAAAACACACCTGTTCAGAAATACCTCTTTGGATCTTTGGTGGTCTGTGCACCATTGCCTGTGTAAGCTGTTATAGATGACAGACATCAGTGTCAGCAAATCTCAGGAGTGTGTGGGGGGGTGGGGTTAAACAAAAACCTAATGTTGTGGCTTGCTGAAGCTTACACAAATAAAAGCAACAATACAGTGCCTGTTCCCTGGCTGCTGTTGGCAATGTTTCTGTGAGCTCTGAGAGTATCTGTCCTAGTGCTCTGCTTATTTTATTGCAAGAGCAGCAAGGAGGGGGGAGCTCACCTCTGGCTAGTTCTCTTGTTACCTTTGTGCCAGTGGAAGCGAGATACTTCTTGACTGGAATGGGTAGGGACCCCAGTTTGAAATGAAGTTCAGGATTTATTTTCCCCACTCTGTTTGAAATAAACAGACAGGCTTCACTGGCTGCCGGTCCCATTCTCTTCCTTTTGGAAAAGGTTATGCTGACAGTAAGACAGCAGTAAAGGAAAACAGAATGAACTGTGATCAAAAAGCTATATTCTGAATTAAAAAGAGATTATGGTATTCTTAGCCTCTGTGCTGGTAGTGCACCTCTCACATGGGTTCTGCAGCATCTTCCAGAAAGAATCTGTGCTCGTTGCTGCGTGACTTTGCTCCTGCTGCTGCTGAGCAGGCTTGAATACCTTACCTCAGCTGATGCTGCTGGTATGTCAGAGTCCACTGTGAGAGATCTGGAATGACCCCAAAGTGGCTCATACCTAGCATACACTTTTGCATACAGCAGGTAAAACTCCCTCTTGTGTCTGATGCTCTGCTGGTATCTTCTGGAGTAGGACTCAGGCATCGTAGGGATTCATGGTAACAGAACGGCTTATTATCAGTAGTTGTACAATAATTCTGATTCAAAGGAAGCAAATACATCATGTATTTAAACAACATTGAAGTCTGTGACACAACTATTGCTGTGGTGGTGCAGGTTACAGGATCGGGACTGACATTCTGCATAGTTACAGCCTAGCTGTTTTTTGATGCTTTGTTCTCAGAGGTGCTTCAAATGAGCTCTGAGAATATAATGGAGGTTTTCATGTTACGTGTCCAGTTACAAAAGTGTTCTCTTACTGTAATTTCTCCAGATCCTGCTTTTATTGTGTATGAATTTTGTAATGGTATTGTGGAGCTGGCATTGTGGACAAGTGTTTTCTAGTGTGCAGTGGTGTACAAATAGAAAATCATAGTTCTAGGCCCAGAGTACTCACAGTAGCGTTCTTTTACATAAGTATTTTTCTGTTTGAAAGTATATTATTTTGGAGTACAATGTTGGATGACAATTTTAGCTGTCAAGCTCAACTCTTACAGTTTGCTCTTTCTACCCCCACCCCCTTCTTTTGTTTTTAACCAAAACACCTTTGTTATTTAGCAAGAAGTTGAGAAGTTTACAGACCTAGAGAAACTCTACCTCTACCTTCAGCTGCCTTCGGGTCCCAACAATGGAGACAAAAGGTATGTGTGTGGTAAAGGTAAGCAGCTGGTGCTGAAAACACAGCTTCTTGGGGCACTCACTTACTGAGCATGCATTTACGTGACGTGTTTGGTAGCAGAAGCTGTCTTCAAATATTAAGAACTTATTTTTTGGTGAAGATTGTTTTTAATATTTGAACTTTATTGCTCAAATACCTTGTAAATATAAACCTCCTAAAATGCAAGACTCATCAAAGAATATCTTTTGCAGCCTAAGTGCGATCGTTCTTTCACATTTTACATAGGAAGTGATAATATAGCAACATAAACGTGATGCTGGGGGAAAGAAAGAACTAATGGTATTTCTGGTAGCATTTGTTTGATTAAAGGAAGATCTAGAAAAACAACCTGAAGATCACAACATCATGAAATTAGCATCTGTTCCCAGCAGGCTGCCTACAGGAAGCACTCTGAGCACTTGCTGAGAAAGTTGAGTATTTGCAAAGGGCGGTTGGCAGACTGAGTGGGCAGAAGCTTAAGAATGGTCAGCAAAAATAAATAAATAAATCAGGAGGCAGGCACACTAACCCATCACTCTGTGTGTGGCTGTGTATCAGGCAAGAACCAGAGTATGGAGTGTCTGTTGAATTGTGTACAAAAAAGGGAGATAATACTTCCGTAGCCTTAAAGAATAGCTGCACGTTTAAGGTACTGGCCTTTGTTGGCTGTCATCTTTCTGCCTGTGCAAATACAAAAACTAGAACCGAGGAGGAACTATGGAGTGAAGTCCTCATCAGAACTGTTTCTTCTTTCACTAGTGATCAGATCTCCATGTCATCCAGCCGTGCACAGCAGATGCATGCCTTCTCTTGGATACGGAATACCTTGGAAGAGCACCCTGAGACATCCCTTCCCAAACAGGAGGTTTATGATGAATACAAGTGAGTGCTTCGGGTAGTGCTTTCTGCATAGTGCTTACAAAGTTGTAAATAGTTGTGTGACACGGGCTCTACAAGTACTCCATTGACATGCATACACAAGTGCATGTGGAAGAACAAGGCCTTCTGTACTTGGGTGCTAACCTAACTGAGGCCAACTCTGTTCAGTAGCTGTGCCACTGAAGATAGGACTGTGCTGGTTATTACGTTATTACGTGGTGCATTACGTATGCTGAAGTAAACGTGCAAGTATTTCTTAGCAAGTAAATATCAGTATGAATATTGTTTTTATATTTTGGACAGAGCGGCACAAATTAAAAGTGCCACTTGCTGTCCTAGAGTGTTTTTTGTTCTAATTAGATATACGTGCACATGTAAATGACTGTCTTAACAAGGATGAAGGGCTGAATTGTTCCTCCTGGAAAGGCAGGTATTTGGTGCACAAGATCTAGTCAATGGTACCTTTCTCTCCAGAATAATACGTAAGTATTGGGCTTTCCTGCAGCAAACCTGATTTCTACAAAGGCACAGTATACCTGAATATGCATGAAACCAGTAACCAAGGCCACTGAGAGTCTGTTTTGTCGAGTCTCGAAGCTATCATGTAATGAGAGCGATTAGAAGCAAGGGAGGGCGAGCTGTCTGGCAAAAGCTGGATTTGGATTCATTTACAAAATGTTCCCCATAGGGGGGAAAAAAAAAAGGCCCAGATGCCTGAAGATGAATAACAGATTCCTGACCTAGTATGAATATTTCCATAATCTGAATGATTGCAATAATTTGCAGGGAGTTGAGTGCCTTCACCTCACAAATGCCTACAGGATTCAGCCCTTGGTAGTTGTTGCAGCGCTGCATTATGTGAATGCCTCCTTTTAATTAACTCTCTCTGGCAGAGTTGTTTTGCTCTGACTGAGCTGCAGCATGATGGCATTCGCTCGCCTGGGGTTGATAAACACGCAGACACCTATTTCTGAAGTCTCCCCATTGAGCCGAGCGGTGACGCAGCCTGGAAGCAGGGCCAATAGCACAGACGTGCCAGGGCAGCCAATCCCCGAGCAGGAGCTGCTCCCGCAGACACAGCAACAGCGGCAGCTGCTGTGCGGGAGAGAAATGGAAGCGTTATTCTGAAATATATTTCTTATTTAATAATTTATGGCCTGCTTCAGCAACAAATCTGCTTGGCTTCCATGCTGTGCCAAGCTGCAGATGCCCAGAAAAATCATCATCTACAGATTGTTGAGTGTGAAATTTGGATGGCTTTTGGATGTAGCTGCATCAAGTATTTGTGTATTGTATTTTTTTGCCTAACAAAATAAGGGTGGAAAGCAAATATTCAGGAAAATATCAAATGTTTGGAATCTGTTCTCTTTTGAAAGCATCTGTTCTGTTTTTAAAACATTTAGTTTCTGTGAGTGTATTTATGAGCTATTCTTGCACACCAAAGGAAGAATAGCTTTGGAGTGGGAGGTGGGGAAGAGGCGTATAAATAGATGAGTTAGTTTTGATAAGTCATTTTTCTTTACCTAGGGGCGTTAAGTCCTCTCAAATCTCACTTCTCTCTTATTTACAAGTTATAATTTCTCTCCTCTGTGTGCAAAGATAAATGTTGCATGAGCTCATAGTGAGGAAACTTGTGCACTCTGCACATAATAAATCGAAGTTAAAAGGCTTCAGAAGAGTGCTGCATCATAGCAGCGTTTCAATGCCTGCTGTAAATTTTGGTCGGAATATATATTTTTTTTTTTATAAAAATACTGCTCTTCTGTATCACCTTTGTGTTTTTCTTTTTTCTATTAAGAGAAAAAAGAAGCTTACAGAGCACACTGATCCAGCACTGGCAAACGTTGATAGCATTTCCAACTCCTTCACATTTCAGTAGCCTTGCATCCCTCATCTAAGTTAACACAATGATGCTTCTTTTTGGTTTCTTACTCTTTTTAATTGTAAATTCACATCTCTAGCTAGGTAAAAGTGAATGAGTATATCACTTATTTTACCCCCTTCAAAAGGGAGATAAATGCATCGTAATATGAGCCAGTAGTACTTGGGACGGTTGAGAGCTTGCAGCTGAATTTCAGAAAGGAGGTAAATGAGAGCTATTTCACCTCTCTTGTTGGCACTTGCACTGACAGAATATGCTGTGCTGTAAGAAGCTGTGTTCCAGTGCACGTGGTGCTTCTGCCAGCTTCCTTTGGAAGTTACAGGGGAATACAGTCTGGAATATATTATTAGGACTCATGGTGAGCTGCCTAATCTCTTCTGTAGCCTGAAGAGAATAGTTGCTGCTTCCCATCAAATAAATCCTTTCAGTGTTTTCTCGTCAGTCAGTTTTACTTACATATCTTTGCTTTATTAGTAAACACCCTTCTGGAGGCTGCCAGGTGTAGATTAAGCTGAGTTTAGAGGATTAAGATTTCAAGTCTGGCAGTACTTACACAGAAAAAAAAATCCTTGTTTGTCCACAAAATGATTTTTGAGCCTTCAGTAAGCACTTTGGTCCTTTTGATGCTACTGCAATGATGCAAGAAAAGGAAGTTATGTTGTTCATATTTAAGCTTGGTCCCCTGAAGATTCACTTAATATACTTTAATATAGGTTAGGAGGTCTCTGAGTGAGCTTGTATCTCTTATCTGGTCTGTAAATCATTAATCCTTGATTTACTGGCTGCTGGGCCACTTGATGCATAGGTTGTGTGTGTTAAAGTGTTAAAAGATGTTAACTAGCATGTGGAAGAAGACTATTGAGAAGCTGGAACAGAAGAGGGCAGTAGGTACAGGACTACCATGGACATACGGACAAATTAAAGATGTGAGATTCATGCTAATCTTGTTTGATAGCTTTTAACCACTGTTTTACTTAAAAACTCCCTGATAGGAACTGCATGGGACCTGTTGTGTTGTCAAGTCTTCTGTTGTAACTGAGTAATTATGTATTTCTTTTAAAAGCTGATCAAATTCCCATCTAAAGCAACTGTTTCCTGGCTTTGTTACTAGTCCTAAGAATCTGATACAGAATTCTGTTTCTTTGATGGTTTTCAGACATCTCTATTCCATCCTATGTGATTTCTAGGACTTCTTTGCCAGCATTGTTCGTTAGCTTAAGGAGAGCCTGCCTCTTCCTAAGGTTTTGTTCTAACCCGTTTTTTAGAAATCAGTTATTTCGGGTGGATTGGATAAGCCAAGATCTTTGTTTCGTTTCATGCAATAGGTTCTTTCCTACTATTCATAGTGGTTCTTTCTGCACCCATCTTGTGTTGAGTTCAGCTTTCTTGAACAGGGTACGCAGAATATGTACGATGTTCTCTGTGGGATTTAGCCTGTACGTACGGTGACAGAAAAATTCTCTCAAGTAACGCTGCTGTTTTACTCTAAGATTGTATCCACCTTGTTATCAGCTGCTATGGATATATCATAATTAACAACAGGATGACTAACATATCCATTTTATCTTCCGCTGCATTCAGTCGATGAGTGCCTACTTCACAGCAGCAGCACTTGTTAATTCTTGTGCATTAGTTTGCATCTCGAGCTATTTAATTCCATCTTTTTTTCTATTCTTGTCTTTTCAGTTTTGCCATGTAACACCCCAGTCATTTTGTTTCAGTGATGCCTCCAGAATCAGATGGTTTTGCCACATTTTTTTCTGACAATTTAATACAATATTAAGTAAGGAAGACAGATTTTGAGGAACTGTGCGTAGCTTTCCTCTGAGCCTTCTGTCTCAGTGTAATCCGTTACCTCCATTTTATCCAGTTCTTTGCCCAGGAAGCTCGTTAAGCTGGGCTGTGTAGCCTGACCATCCTTGTTGGCTTGTAGTTGGTTAATCTTTTTTGTGGTCTAATTCAAGCGCACTCCCGTTGTATTTTCTGTCTTGAGTACATGTAATTTGAAAATGGACTTCCCTTGCCAAATTTACTGTGTAGGTGCGCTCTGTACAAAGGAACATAAGCAGTCGTGCACCCATTGTCACTCCTGTCTCTTTGTAGACCTTCCCTCCCCCATCTGTTTCCCACCCACCCTTCAAATAAGCAAAAGAGCTCCTGGGCTCAGCGATGTACCAAGAGTGCAAGTAGCAGAGAGAAGAGCTTCAGGGAAGAGACTCCTGGTATGTCTTGTCAAGTCAATGAGAGATCGCAGATGGACATGTAGGATTCTCGGCCAAGCCAGGAGGAGGAGGGGCCATATGGAAGGATCTGTCTGAAAACTGAAATTACAGGATGATAATAAGAGCTCAGAAATCACAAGCTTGCAGGAGCTGCCAGCATGGATTCAGGGGGACCATATAACTGGACACTTGGTGCTGCTAGCAAGTAATTGTCTTGAAACAGATGTGCTTGACTTGAGGAACTGATTTTTTTTCTTTTTTCTTTATTCTTTTTTTTTTTTTTTGGAGAGGGGATAATTTTATCTTTGAAGTTGATTGATTGATAGGTTCCTAATTGTGTTGTTTTGCTATTTTAGGTTTTTTGTTTTGTTTTGCTGACATTGTTGAGTTTCAGTCAAAAATACTGCTGACTGCAGCAGAGAAATTCGGAGAGCCCCTCTTTACATGGTGGTTGAGACTTCAAGCCCTGTAATCAGCATTAGAAAGTGACAAAGACCCACCTTTTAGGATTTTTCAGAGGGAAGTTAAAATCCAGTGGAGTCTGCTAAGACTTGAGATTAAAAAGCACAGAGACGTGTCTAGAACAGCATTATGCATGAAGCAGCCTCTGATTCCTAAGAGGGTGCAGCAAGGCTGGAGAAGCATTCCTTTGTATTAACTTCAAAGGGACAAATCCAGAATCCAGAGAGTGTGACTGACAAGCAGTGAAATGAATTTTGTTGGTATATAAATCAGGTAAAAATTTTCCCGATGTCTGATACAGAAACATCAAGTAGTTGGAGGGAACCTCTGGAGGTTACAGGTCCAACCCCTCACTCAGAGCAGGACCAGCTTTTGGTGTTTCGTGATGTTGCTTTATCCAGACCATTTATGGATGAGGGAAATCAAGGACTGGAATGGGAGCCCAAAGAGGGTGTGAAATCTTTCTGCCTGTTTTTAGGACCTGACTGGGCAAAGCTGAGCAGCCTGGTTTTGACCTCAAAGCTGAGCCTCTTGTGGGCTGGTGTTTAGACTGAAGTCTAAAAGGGTGCTACCAAGCGCCATTCCCACTCTAACTAATCTGTGATGCTGTGCCTCCAAAGGTGGGGCTTCCAGTGTCCGGCAGCTCCTGTTCCTGTGGTCTGTCCACTTTCATTGGGAATGTGTTGGGGGCGTTGTGTCCCATCCCCTCGCTTCCTTCTAAATAAAGAAGAAAAAAGTGAGAGTTCTCACGAGAATGGGCTGAAAGTTTTGGTAAGACTGGCTTCTCTGCACTATGCTGCATTTCCTTTTCATTTTGGAAGGAGAAACAAAGGTCTTTTATTTCTGTCCCATGGATAACAGCAGTCTACACAAGTTTGCAGACAGAGCTGGGGAAAGTAAGGGCACACAAGCTCTATGGAAGAATGGTAGAACCAAATAGAAAAACCTTGCTGTTTATCATCAAAATCATAACGCGTGGCAGTGCTTTGCAAATGGAGGATACCTACATACAGCCAAGGTAAAAGCAGCATATACCTGCTCTGTAATAACTAATATTTTTACAGAGAAAATAAATGCAGTGGAAATATCTCAAAAATATCTCTCTGTGTAGCTACAATTTTCAGAGAAGACTGTTTGTCTGGACTCCTTGAACGCAGGTGCCATTGCTGATTGTGATTGGTTTTACCATGTGATGCTGGGAATTAAACTTCTGTTTCAGGAGTGATGCTTTTTGTTTTCTTCTTTGATGAACAGAGATTTGTTTGCCTGCATGTACCCCAGTTGGAGTAGTGAGCAATGTAGCATGTGAAGTGATTGTCTTGATGCTCTCTGCTATGATGCCCACGCAGAGTTGTGTACAGTCACCTCTTCTGTTCAGAGGCAGCTTGGTTCTGTGTATTGCTGGTAGGGCTGCCCACAGGAAAGGAGCTATTGCTATGGTGCTGACTCTGTGACCGTAGGAAGTCTGAAAGAACGCTTTACCGGTATGCTCTTGGGCCTGAGCATGTCAACAGCTGTGAAATACTACGGTGCTCTTGAACAAAAGGCAATAAATATGTAGTAGCGTTGGTGTCTTTGTGCAGCCTCAAGCACTTGCTGCGTAGCTGAGCGTTCCAGAGCAGGTTGTTTTTCTCCTTTGCTTTCACGTGATTGTGATTTCTCAGAATGTTCACGCTTGGCAGTGTAATCAACAATTCTTGCTCTCTGCCTTAAGGAGATATTTTTCTAAATACCTCAGGTGTTGAAACAAAATTCCTTCTGGTGTTCTTGAAAACTGAAGACAGATAATGGTACCCATTTTACTAGAAAGTAAATTTAGCAAAATGAATAGCTTCTGTTGCTTTTTTTCCTGTGTCATCAACTTGTTTACTCAGTTGTGCGAAGATTAGCAGATCTACATTTGTAGAGGCATTAGAAATCTGTGAATTTAGGGCTGGTAATTCATGTAAGGATATCTATAATTAAGCAGATCTTATAGTTCGCTGTAGACAAACAGTTGCTAGGAGGACTAGGTCCTCAATACCTGTTTGTGTCACACCTATAAAGGTGAAGCTGGTTCCATGGGAAGCTACGCCTCATGAAAATCTGTTTGCTAAGTTGTCTCAAGTTGCAGCTGTGCAGGCAGACAAATCTCGGACCTGCTGCTTTTCAAATATTCCAATAGGACTTAAGGCCTTCCCACACTCAAGCCGTACCTCTGGCTAGAGAATGTCACTGCTAAGTCCTACAATAAGGGAATTGAAACATAATAGCTTCAAACTAAGTTGTGGAGTGAATCTTAACTGTGCTCTAGTTAATGCCACTACTTGTTAAATCTCCACATGACTTGTCTTTGAACTCAGTAGAGAACAAGGCAAAAACGATGGTATTAATAGCTCTGTGTATACATTTTTTATGTATTCAGTTCGTTGTGGATTGCTTCATTAATGTTATATGTGGTTCTAAATATGGATAGGTTTGAGTGTTTTCTTTTTGAAAACCTTTGGAGTCTAGCATGCAGGCTGGCCTTTTGTATTAACTTTGATTCCATTCACGTTTTATTTCTCTTTGTTGCAGGAGCTATTGTGACAATCTTGGCTATCACCCATTAAGTGCTGCTGACTTCGGAAAGATCATGAAAAATGTCTTTCCGAATATGAAGGCCCGTCGTCTAGGCACAAGAGGCAAATCAAAATATCCTTTGCTAGAACACTTCTCAGTAACTTCTTCTGCAATTGCCTGGAGAACATCTGCTGTTACAGCTCAACTACCAGCTAAATTTAGAAGTAATGTTAAATAAAATATGCAGACACTTTCCCAAAAATCTTTAAAGATTATTAAATGCTATAGTGTTAAGTTGCAAGATACCACTTAAGAAACAAGATAGTAAATTTAGGTTACACTGTCTTTCTGGGAAGCTTAGTTGTCACAACAGTGAGGAACCAAAAAAGCCTTATCACATAGTGTGAAGAAGAATATTGAAGCAGAGGAACTTGCCTCACGTACATACAATAGTATTTTATTAGCAGTTCAGAATTATCAAAACACTTCTTGCTTCATTATATACTTGTGCACACCAGTACTTTAAAAGTTAGTTGTAAAGCCACAGATCCTTCTTAAGAGGTGCTACAAATCTCTCATAAAACTGCAGCTCCTCAATCCACTTTTTCAATTGTTTGTAAGAGAAAAGGGGATTACTGAGAAGCAGTCAAAAAGCTGATTATAGACTTGGAAGTCACTTATTGATGGCTTGTCCTGCAGGGGTGAGGGGAACAGGCTGCTTCCTTCATTGCATGGTGCATACTTCCTGAGACAGAAAAGACAATTCAGAGCAAGTGCTAGGATGAGAAGCGATGTCTCTCTCCATTGACTGTGGTCTCATTCCCTGTGCCCACAACTGGAGTCCACTTCTTTCCCTTCTTGCCTGTGGTAGAGAAATTCACTCTCCCGAAGGGTATGCAAAAATACTGTCCTGTTTAGCTGTAACTTAAAGCAGAGCCTGAAGTATACAGCAAATTGACCTTGTCATAGTGTAGGTAAAGATACTGTTACAGGCATAAGTATGCACAGTTAAATGTTGAGACAGAGTAGTTTATCAGCTAACAGGCAGCCGCTATGAACATGTCAGGGCAAGTACTATGTAAAAGAGTCAGCTTATATCACTGGTGGTTCTGCTGTTTCAGTTTAGGGACAAGAAGCACTGCTGGGAAAGAAGTGCAGTAATCAAATCAAAAGGCTACAAGGATGTAAATTTTTCTCAGGCTTTTCTGAGATGGAGCTATGGTTTGTATTTATTGCACAGTTAACTGCTTCTGTCTAGTCTTTAGCAAGCTGAGGTATTCCATTAAAAACCAGAAACTGTTACTGATTTTCAAAGTAAGTAGTTTCATCTGCAAGAATTTAGTCTTTTCCAAGTTGAGAATTGCACTTTCCCTTGAGAATCTTTGGAAACTGCCATGAAGCAACCTACTGCCTTCTGTGTCCCACAGGGCCAGCTCTTGCTCCATCAGTGTGTTGCTCTGATGCAGTGGATGGGTTGAGCTACTGCAGAAAGTGAGGATGGGTTTTAAAGGGTGAAAGACCTCAAGGAGGTTGTACGTTCTAATTAAAAAACAATCAAAAGAACTAGCTGTAATGATACGGACTCACTGTAATACTGTCTTTTGCCAAGGTTTTACTCTAAGCATGGTAAGCAAAGAGAATTAATGCTAGCGGGCAGCCCAGGATTATTTGTCGTCTTCAGAGGGGACCAAAAAAAAACACACATAATTGTACATGAAGAAATTATGTCCATTAAATTTTTCATTAAGTACAGTGTTGGATTATCTAGTAATGGAGTCCAAAACTTAATAGCAGCATTCTGGATGGAGCTAGACAAATTTTAAGGAAGAAATTATATGATGTAATTATAGCTTGACAGGATTGTCTTTCGGTTCTGTTTCCTAAGTTTCTAATTCAGAATGATTAAAATATGACTTTATTTCACACTTGCCGTAATACCTAACCACCCTACATTTAATTTACTGTAGTTATGCTTCATCCACGTTAGTGTAAGAAAATGTAAACTCTGTGGTCTAGGGAAGAGAAATACACATTTAGAGAAAATGAAAAATCGGTGATTTTGACAAGGATTTGCTCATCATAGAGAAGAGAACACTGTATGTGAACTTTTAGGCTTTGGATTCTGGGCTGTTGTGAGGTTATGTTTAATGACACTGAATTTGAGAGCTGTTGCTGAGTTTGAGTATAAAGTTTATGAGAGGTATAGGAGGAATTACTGCCTGTCCTCCCTACATGGCACCTAACAAGCAGAGATGATGTAGACCTTAATTCTTGATCACATATTGCTACAGTGGACTGAGGAAGAAGGCTTTTGTTCATATGCCAACACTGCCCAACCTTGACTTTCATAAAACTGGAGATGGGGTATGTTATATACTTCTACATATTTGTGCAAATTAACATTTATTATATTACTTTTACTGTCTTAAGTTTTTCTTACTATCTTAAGTTTTCCAAGCAAATTGAAGAGCTGTGTAGTTTTTAAGAATTTCTTTATGATGCTCAGCTTCTAAAACATTGTGTGTTTGTTTTCTATAAAAATCTAGAAAGAATTGTAGTACTAGTATAAAACAAAAAATACATCCAGAGGTGAAGCAGAATTCCACAGTACTGCTACCTACAAGGTGTGTGTGTATATATGTATTTAACTCTGATCCCGTTTTGGCTTTACTGTATATTGATAATAATAATTCAACATTAGAGGAGAATCCCCTGGGAAAGAAGCAGTTCCTGGGGAACAATGGCTGCTGCGGTGACAAGACTCTGGTTGCAAGGAGGATCAACTGTAGGTGGTCTGAATGTTGGGATTCTTGCTTTGATTTTCTTCCAGAAGCAGCAATTCCACGTGGTACCTTTGGAAACAAGCAGTAGCATATAATGTTTAGTAGCATGGATGTTGTGGTCTCATTCTCCCAATTTCATGAAAAACTGTGAACATCCGTATTCAGCTTGCTGTGTGCTTTTGATCATCGTTTGCTCTGTGTTCTTGTGTTCACTCCTTTGTGGCCTTTAATAACGAAAGTAACCATTCCTTCTTTGTTTGTTGTAGTTGGATGGGACAGAGCCGTCTGGGCAGCTACAAAGTGCCGATGAGGAAGTTGTCTCTGCGGCCTGCCGGCTTGTTTGCGAATGGGCCCAGAAAGTGCTAAGCCAGCCTTTTGATACAGTCCTGGAATTGGCTCGTTTCCTTGTAAAAAGTCACTACATCGGCACCAAGTCAATGGCAGCTTTAACAGTAATGGCAGGGGCACCAGCAGGTAATGAGTTAACTTCATTCTGAATTGATGAAATGGGGGGTATTTTTTCTGAGAGTAAGGCATTTTAAGTCAGAGCGATTTCTTTTAATCTTAATCTGGGGTGACCAAGAGGAGTGAGGTGTCTGGACAGCTCTGGACCTTTAGGGATCGATTGGGTTTGTCTCCCCTGCTTTGAGTAGGAACGTGTCCCGCTTCAGACCTTGGCATTTTAGTCCTCTCCGACAGATGTTAGCTGAACCAGACTGATTTCAAGCTGCATTGCTTCAAATTATTTTATTGAAAGTAGGCTGGGTAGGAAGATTTGAAAATAAGCAGTGGCTTCAGGTTTAGTTTGTGATGGTAACCTTTTGTTTGCCTGACAACTTCTTGCTGCAGTTTAGATTTGTGTTAATGGTCGCGTAAGGACTGGGTATAAAAATGTCTGGTACAATAGAGTTGTGCTTCTTGAGAACTGCTTGCTGCCTGAGGGAAAGGTAAAGGGAAGGGAAGTGGGGGAAGAGAAACCTCAGCTGGTCTTAAAGCTACTACGTAATCACAGTCAGCGTGAAGTGTGGGGCTGGTCACTGAAGAGACTTCAGCAATTTCTCTAGAAGTCCTTACAGTTGAGTAAACAATTCAGCAACAGAAATTGAAGCAAGAAATCCTCTGTCAAGGAAATTAGTAATGATACAATTTGAGTGGTCTTGTTCAAGTTGGTTTCCTAGCTTATATTCTCTGAGGTAATGAAAGGTAGGCGTTCATGCATGGTGGGAAGCAGTCAGGATGTGGGGCTTCCAGTCCATCTTGGCCGTTCAGGTCAAAAACCCCTGCACGGAAGGCAGGGATGTGTGCGTGGTGCTGTCATGAGCTGACTGGTGATTCCTGGGACACTGGCCTGCAGTGACTGCCTCTGGCACATGGATGGACACCTGTCTCCCCAGACTCTTTCCAAGGTCTTCTCCAATTCCTCTGATGAGGACCCTGGTCTTACAAAGCACTCAAAGGCAGGGTTAACTTGAAGCATGTGAGTAATTGTACTGAGCTGTACTATGCCTAGATCAGGATTTGGGTGCCCTGACAGTGGGGGTTTGTAGGCACGCTGCTGGTGTAGCTGTGTTTGTTTGATGACTTGTTCTCATTTGGAAACAATTGTCCGTCTTAATTTTCTCTCCCGAGCAGATTTTCTTACAGGCATTTCTGGTATGTCAGATGCAAATTTTCCTGAGATGTTTGATCTGTGTCAGGTAGTAAAAGTGTGTCAGCTGTTGTTTTTATAGATTATACTAGAGATAATGGTTTGAGGGGCACTGAGAGGGACCGGAGAGCCCCCTCCAGAGGCAGTTTGTGTAACTGGGATTCCAGCACTTGATGTCAGATCTTTGTTAAGGATCAAGGTAAAGAGGAGAGTTACTTTGTATTTCACTACATCTCAGAGAAATGGATTTCAAATTCACGCATTTCAAATAGAAACTGGTGGTCAAGGCTGAAGACGGGGGTGATCCCCTTCTGGATCCCCTTACTTCCTTGAGGAGAAGGTGGTGTTTCAAGGGAAAAGGTGGTTATTTCCAATGCATGCCTGTGGAGCTCGGGTACTCATTTCAGGAGAGGTTCTATGGTCTGGCATGGTAAATAAGATATTCATTCCCATTCCTCTTTATCATGAGGAACTATAGTGTATCTGTGTACTAACTGGTAGGGGAAAAAAAGAAAGCTTTTTTTTTTTTGAGGTAAAATTGTGGTGTTATTTTCCTGACAAACATTACTTGCTTTCGGTATTCAGACCACATAGGTCACTTATTTTCCAGTAATAACAATATATTTGCGTGTTTCACTGCTCTGTGAAGAAGGAATTGAACACTTAACGTGGAGACGTGTTGTAGAGTTCAGGCTCTTGTGGTCCATGCAGGCTGTTGCTCAAAGGATGGGCTCCCAGAAGACGGTGTTTGAGCTTATACTGGGGATCTAAACCCAAATTACTGCCCTTAAATGGTGATGAGTGATTTATAATCGAGTTCTTTTAAAGTAACGGAGAAGCCTATGGAAATATAAATGAAACTGGTAAAGCATATTTAGAAGGGCAATTCAAGAGAATTGGGCCATCCTTGAGAGAGTGTGCTTATCCTTTGGACTGTTAATGAATGAAAGGTCATAGATGCAACGTGATTTTGTAACAGGAATTGGTACCAGCTGCACAGACAAGACCAACTCCATAGTGTTCTCCTTGGAAGCACCATTGCTTGCTTGTGATTAGCAAAGGCATTGTCTCCAGAAAATAAATATATATATATCATTCTAATTCTATCATTTTTCACCTTTTTCCTTCTTTTGTTTTATTTTCCTCCCTTGTCACTACTCTTCTTGCCCTTCTTTCACTGCTGTCCATGATCACGTGCTGGTTGCAGTCCATTCTGACATTACATGTACGTAGTATCTGTTCAGAGCTGCTCCTCTGTGACACAGACCCACAGCTTTCTGGAAAGATTTTTCATTTTGAAAACTGCTTTCAAGATAGGTAACAACAAAAACATGGTAGATGATGGATTTTAAAGATTCCTCTGCAATATATCCACTGCCCTCTACTGTCAGTTAAATTAATTGCATTGTTTTTAGATGTAATTCAAAATATGTAGCTTGGGGTTACTAGAAAGAAGATGCCAATACATAAAATTTATCAGCTAGTGGCCAGCTTGCCTAACAGATAGGAGTTTAGACACAGATATGGAAAGAAACTGAAACACTGAATAGATTCGAGCATGCACAAATAGATGAGGTGTTCCCTGAATGGTTGTGGAGATGCCTGCTATGTATCTGCAGTTGGATACAGAAGTGGCACTACAACAGACTGTGTATGTGTTGTTATAATTCATTCTTCTTCTTCTGTGTTCAGGAATAAAAGGGATCCCCCAGCCCTCAGCTTTTATGCCTACTGCTGAAAGCAATTCCTTTCAACCACAAGTGAAAACTCTGTCATCTCCTGTTGATGCCAAGCAGCAGCTGCAGCGTAAGATCCAGAAGAAGCAGCAAGAACAGAAACTGCAGTCTCCTTTGCCAGGAGAGTCTCCAGCAAAGAAAACGGAAGGCACTGCAACCAATGGTGTGACGAGTATATCTAATGGAAGCCCTGCAATTCTGTCTCCTCAGCCCATTGGTATTGTTGTGGCAGCTGTCCCCAGCCCGATACCGGTAATCTTCTCCAGCAATTCTAGAGAAACCCCCTTATGAAAGTAGTTAAGTAGATATGTCAGTGGGAGGGAGGAATGTTGGTTTTCGTTCAGACTTGGGTCCCTTGATGCTGTTCTGTCCCAGTGACTGTTACACCACAAGTGGTGTAACGATGTGACTGAGTTTAGGTTAGATAAGGAGGCAGCAGCATTTTGATCATATCACATAGGTCTTGTTCATCTTTGAAATCATCGACAGTGGGATTTCAGCTAGCAATGTTGGTTATATGTGGGCATAACTGACCCTTGGGATGAAGCTCAACCAGATGGGAGAGCCAGCACAGGTCATGTGGCTCACTGAGCCCCTCATTTGGAATCCAAATTGACTTGCATTGGCCCAGCATACTTAGGTGACACCAGCAATTTTGTTTTTGCATGAAACTGAAAACATGGAGCTACTTTGTCTTTCAGACTTAAACATTAAAAAAATATGGGGTTGGGAGGAAGGTTATTTGTTTTTAGGTTTTTATTTTTTTAATAGCTGTGCTGTTTATTTCAATAGATAAGGGAGTTTTTCTGCCTGATACTCAGCTTAGATTTGATTTGCTTTTGAAATCTTGAAAACGAGCAGTTTTGAATGCATCTTCTCCTCTTTCTCTTTTGTATTTCTGTCTTTTGTTCTATTTGGTGAAGGACTGTATGATAATAATCCTTTCGTAAGCCTAATGTGTAGGCCAGTTCCTTGTTCCTTAAAAACTGAGGCCATGTGTCTGCCCACCAATCCTAGGCAGACAGATACCAGTTGCCTGGTATGCAGTTGAAGAGCTTGCTTTGTTTTGAAATCACTAGCTTTGTTGTGTTGAGCAGCGTTGTCCTTTGCCTTTTGAAATGCGTGGGGATGAAGTAGTCTGTGGGCTTGGAGGACTTTCTTGCTTCATCACCACACCGTGTCTCTTCCTCTTTGAACAGGTGCCAAGGACCAGGCAGTTGGTGACATCTCCAAGTCCTATGGGATCGTCAGACAGCAAGGTCCTGCCGCTCAACGTTCAGGTGGTCACTCAGCACATGCAATCAGTCAAGCAGTCACCAAAGACTCCCCAGAATGTTCCTGCCAGCCCAGTTGGTGACCGCTCTGCCCGACATCGCTACCCGCAGATCTTACCGAAGCCAGCAAATACCAGTGCTCTCACCATCCGCTCTCCCACAACGGTGCTTTTTACCAGTAGCCCAATCAAGACTGTTGTGCCAGCTCCACATGTGAATTCCTTAAATGTGGTAAAAATGACAGCAATATCTCTCGCCCCAAGCAGCGGTAGTGTGCCTGTCAAACAGACACCTTCAGTTAATAGCACTGCGGGAGCAGTGGAAGAGGGGAGAGCTGCTCCACAGATGAAAAATGGATCTCTTGTCTCACTTCAGTCCCCAGGATCCAAACCTAGCACTGTTGTAGCTGCATCTGCAGTTGAGATCAAAATGGAACCAGAAGCACTGCTGGATGAGAACCCAGTACAGGGCCAAGAGAGCTCTGAGGTATCTAAATCTATAAAGGCAGCCCCTGGCCTGCCTCCTGCTCAACAAATAAATTTTGAGGTCACAACCTTGAAGGTTTCAGCTGATGGTGTTGTGGAGGCAAAAACAGTTAAGGGCTGCGATCAGGGAGCTGAAGAAGCAGGGACCAAATATAAAACCCAGTCTAATGAGATGACACCGGTTTCTTCAGCAGGCAATAATCAAAGCACTCTAAAGCTCTCAGTTGCCAGCACCAGCATTGGTTCACCTCCTACTGGTGAGTCTACGATTAAAGACAAAGTATGCACTAAAAGTCCAAGAAAGCGACAACCTTCTACACTTCAAGATTCCCAGGTACCACCTGTAAAGAAACCACTGGTGGGGCAGCTTTCAGCTGGTAATGCTGTGGAGGGTCAAAAAGCAAACAGCGTTAAGAAGGCCCCAAAGGTTGTATCGTTAGCTAGCGGTGACAATACTGCAACACTTGCTCAAGTTCCCAGCAAGGTACCTGTAGATGTACCCGTACCTTCCACAGCGCCAGCAAACGTAGCGACAGACTGTTCCTTGAGCACCAATTTAAATACCAGTGATCCTACTCTAGGACAGCAGCTTGCATCAGCATCATCTCCAGATATAAAAGTGAAATTGGAAGGAAACATGTTTATCATAGAAAATGATTCAAAATCTGATGGCAGCTTTAACCCGAATGCGTGGCACCATATCACCAAAACCTCTGACTTTGCATCTGTGAATTGTGACCAGCAGCAGGATATCAGTGTTATGACTATCGCAGGACATTCTGGCTCTAGTGACTTACAGGAGTCTGCGTGGGAGCCAGTGCACTGTGAGGGCATGCAGCAGGATGTGTACAACCAGCAGCTACAGAGCCAGCTCCAGGACTCCTCCTTGGGTCAAATACAAGCACAGTCTTCGAATCAGTTACCTCTGCAGTCCGAGTTGAAAGAGTTTGAACATACAGTCCCCCAGTCGAATGAGAACTTCTTCTCATTTGATGATGACCTTACCCAGGACAGCATTGTGGAGGAGCTGGTGCTCATGGAGGAGCAGATGTCAATGAATAATCCTCATCCTTACGGGGGTTGTCTAGGAATGGCACTTCAGAGCCAGACAGCAGCTCAAGGAGCTCCTGTGTCATCTCATCCCAGCAGCACACACTTCTACCACTCAATCCATAACAACAGCACTCCGATCCACACTCCTACTCCTACCCCCACCCCAACTCCCACTCCCACCCCGACTCCGACCCCCACCTCAGAAATGATCTCTGGATCTCAAAACGTGTCACGAGAGAGCCCTTGCTCCAGGCTGGCTCAGACGACTCCCGTAGACAGCGCCCTGGGAAGCAGCCGGCACACGCCCATAGGCACGCCGCATTCCAACTGCAGCAGCAGCGTCCCTCCGAGTCCTGTGGAGTGCCGAAACCCGTTTGCGTTTACTCCCATAAGCTCCAGCATGGCTTACCACGATGCCAGCATTGTTTCCAGTAGCCCCGTGAAGCCGATGCAGCGGCCTATGGCTACCCACCCGGACAAAACCAAACTCGAGTGGATGAATAACGGGTACGGTGGCGTCACCAATTCATCAGTTGCAAACCACGGCATCCTTACGAGCTACCAGGAGCTGGTGGAGGATCGCTTCAGGAAACCTCACGCGTTTGCAGTTCCTGGCCAGTCGTACCAGTCTCAGCCACGCCACCACGATACTCACTTTGGTCGCGTGACTCCCGTTTCACCTGTGCAGCACCAGGCAGCCCCTGTAAGTAACACTACCAAGCAAGAGGGTTTTGCTGTTCCCGCTCCTCTGGACAACAAAGGAGCCAGTTCCACTCTCAATAACAGTCTGAGATGCCGGAGCGTGAGCCCCGCTGTCCATCGCCAGCGTAATCTCAGTGGAAGCACGGTTTACCCTGTTTCAAATATACCACGCTCCAACGTGACGCCTTTTGGGAGCCCGGTGACTCCAGAAGTTCACAATGTCTTTACGAATATCCATGCAGACACCAGTGCCAATAACATAGCGCAGAGAAGCCAGTCGGTCCCGTTGACTGTAATGATGCAGACAGCCTTCCCGTCTCTTCAGAAACAAACAAACACTAAAAAAATAACCAACGTGTTGTTAAGCAAACTTGATTCTGATAGCGATGATGCAGTGAGAGGTTTGGGAATGAACAACATGCCCTCAAATTACACGGCCAGGATGAATCTCACTCAGATTTTAGAAACATCCACTGCTTTTCCTAGTGCCAACCCGCAAAATATGATTAATTCCAGCACTTCAGTTTATGAATTCCAAACACCAAATTACCTCACAAAAAACAGCAGCACCGATCAGATCAGTTTCTCTTCTGGAGATAACCAAGCACAATCAGACATCGGAGAGCAGCAATTAGATTTTAGCAGCACTGTAAAAGACCTTTTAGGGGAGGACAGTCTGCCAACAAACCAGCAGCTGGTGAATCAGGTGGCATCAGATCTGAACGTTACATCTGTCTTTTCCAGCGACATCAGGTTGTCTTCCGAACTCTCAGGCAGCATTAACGATCTGAACACTTTAGACACAAATCTACTGTTCGATCCAGGTCGTCAGCAGGGACAAGATGATGATGCTACACTGGAGGAATTAAAAAATGACCCCTTGTTTCAACAAATCTGCAATGAATCCATTAACTCAATGACTTCAGGTTTTGAGTGGATGGAGAGCAAGGATCATCCTGCTGTTGAAATGTTGGGTTAATCTTGTTTTATAATATGTATGTAGCACACTGTATCTGAAAGACAGACGTATTGTATTTGTCTTAATGGAAGTGCCTCCTGCAGCAGAAACACTTGCTATGTTTTGTGGCATTTAAAAAAAAAAGTTTGCTGTAACAGTTGCTCATACTTGAGCAATGAAAAGGCAGTCTTACCAATTTTAAACAAATCTCTGAAGGTGATGGGCTATCAAAGAGCCAGTATTAAAATTTGAATTTTATAGTGTTTCCCATTCAACATTTATTATTGTAGTAAATAAAGAAGTGGTGAATAGCCAGCCAGCAGTGACAGCAATGGTTGAGGCTTTGGGTGGGTGTTAAGTCGAGCTTGTTAGCAGGCTTTCCATACTCTGCATTGCTTGTTACTTCTGGTAGATGATCCTTACTGACCTCTGTTGGTGAGGTCTGAAAGGCAGGGTGCCTGCAGGTGTGTAGGTGATGGGGAGTGGGTAGAGGTGGAGCAGGTGACATGCAGGTGCCTGACCATTGCGTAGCCATCTTGAGTACTGCTCGGTGGTGAGCTGTGGAAAATTTCCGTAGCACTGGTGCCATTTACATCTCTAGTAAGATGCAGAGACAGGAAAACTAACAGGAATGATCAAGGAAAAAAGAAAGATGCACTAAACTTTTTATTTAAGAGATACAGATCTATGTAGTTATTTTATCCATTAATGTTCCTGACGTTATACTTGGTATTTTAGTTTTCATTTCAGTGTTTTTATATTACGTAAAATTCATGGGAAAAGATTTTGAGCATTGAGATGTAATCTAGGAGTAACACCCTATTTTAAAATGATAGGTACTATTTGATTATTTATCAGAGCTAAAGAAGTAATGTGATGTTTTTCCCTCTTTTTAAAAACAAAAGAGCTGTTGGAGCTCATTAAAATACTATTTTTAAAGATTCGATTTTAAATTTGCTCTTTTTTAACGTAGTGGAGGGTGTAGGAAGATGTTATTTTCTCTATGTTTCAGTAGGTTGAGCCTTTCTTTCTGTTTTAAACAAAATACGACTAAAATATTAGAAAATGTGGTTGATCTAAAAATACTTCATATAGAGCCATAATACTGCCAGGCACTTTACAGATACACAGTCAGATGTGATCTTTCTTTGGGTAAAACTTTTTAAAGTGCTTACTGTTTTAGAAGTCTGAATTCCATTTTCATTGAATGATTTGGGAGGACAGATGAATCTAATTTTTGCTAATACTCCTTAGCTAGAAAATGGGATTTAGACTTCTACCTTACTAGTTCCCTTAACGAAACAAAAAAGACCTGTTGTTTTATCAGCATGGGATGGTTTTCCCTAATGATGAAAAGAGACTTTAACTAGTCCGTGACCCTGTTGTTAGAAAGAGGACTTGCAGGGGCAAGCTTTTACAAAAGAACTGTACTAAGGATGCTACAGTACCGTCCCTTAGGCTCAGTATAAAATCGATTATTTATCTTGTGAACTGATATGTACAAAACTGAACGCAGAACTGAAAACATTTTCCTCTCTTGCATTCCTTCTTTGAATGAGCTGTCATGAATTTATGAATAGGAAGGCACAGTAAGCCCTCCTAGATTTATTGAGGAAGAGATGATCACGCTTTTAGGTGATTTTTTTTCCCCTCCTTCTTGAGATTCTGGTAATGTCTTGATCTCAGGACTGGATTTTTTTATTTTTTGGCTGTGCTTGATTCAAATTGTGATGTTGCATTGGCACTCCAGATGTACCATGGCTTCTTTTGCTCTTGCTCTGATTGACACCCAGTCTGTGGCCTCTTCTTCAGGGACGAGCAGTTGCGATAAGCTATAGCACCTTACATGCGGCCTGATTTCACTGTGCTTGCATCAGAAGTTTTGACGCTTCATTAGGAACAGACTTGGAGAGTTCAGATCCTTCCTTAAAATGTGGATGTGCGATGGTGCGGTTTACTTTCAGACCAAGTGACCCTTTTAATTTTTTTTAAGGAAGTGGGACTCCAAAAACCGCAGTGTAGAATTCTGTTAGTTGTCTGTCAGTAAGGCTGGAACCGTTTTTCCTTTAGACAGAAGTTGCTGAAGGCAGGGCTTGAATTCTCTACCTGCCTGTGGCCTTTAGCCAGAAAGGTGCTGACCATCCGCTTGTTGACTTCACTGGATCTGAGACACATCCAGCACCTCCCTTTTCTGACCCTGTGCAAAGTGCTGTGAATACATAAACCCTACCTGCCAGGGGAGAGTGGTGGGCAGGACAGGACGTCTGTGCTGCAGCCATCTGCGTCTGCGTGCTGTGCTGGCCTCACCTCCACGGCGCTGGCACTGAGACCGACGCGGGCTTGGTGTAAACAAGTTTTTGCCTAACTTCTGGTTCTTCAGAACATTTCTCAGTAAAGCAAGAGTAGATTTAAAAAGCTGATGCACTCTAAATTATGCAGCCGTCACCAAAGGTTTTTAAAAGTACCTTTTAAATTATTTTTAAATACAAACATTATATTGAAGCTAACACGTGACTTAATTAGCAGGTATATTCTATAATCAGTGGATTTAAAGCAAATGTATATTAAATTTAAGAAACGTTCAATTCAGTAAGGATTCTTTCAAGTGAAACCCAAGGCATAGGCACAGCTTTGTACATAGGTGTGTGTTAATTTATAGGTGTTTGTATGTTGGTGTTACAACTAATATTCTGTTAGGTCCCTATACTTAGTGCTAGTTAGTTCTTTACATTGAGACAGAGCACTACTGCACACCAAAGTATGCAATACCCAAAGGAAAATTCTCTGATTTTTAACAAACGGAAGCCTGTGTCAGATACTCCAAAACTAAGAATTTGAGACAGTTCTGACCCCTTGTTTACATAATTGGCTTCCTAATAACATTAGAAATGAATTATTTTGCTAGCAATTTTTGCTAAAGTATATGAACTAGTGAATTTGTACCCTGTGTACTGTATTGCAGCAAACACTTTAAATTTGGTTGGTTAGTCCAGCAAACTTTCTGGGTTCATATATTGCACTAAAATTCTGTTGAACCTGTGGCAGGCACATTCCTTAGGATAAATGCAACAAATACAGCCCACAGATTAAAAATAATAATAATAAAATAACAAAAAACACAAAACAAAAAAAAAAACACACTCAAAAAATTTAAAAAATAAAACAAAAAAAAAACTTTCTAATGTGTTTCATTATTAAAAGGCAAAATGTCATTAAAAGTGACAGGTGAAATTGTCTTATGTAGCAATGTGCATTGATCTCAATGAGATGTCTATTTCTTATTCTCTTACATGAGAATATTACAGCAGGAAAAATTAAGTTTAGTTTGCTTCACCATGTTAATACATGATCACAAAATGTGCATGAGTGTTAATGACTTAATCTTGTACAGTACTAGATATATTCCTGTAACCACTTTTATTTTTTTTATTTTGCTGTATTGAAACTGGTTAACCAGTGTTAACCATGTGAGCATAGTTATTCACAAGTTATTTACTTTTTTATGTTAACTAATTCAGCTTAGTTATTGTTGAATATGTTCTTTTCTTGGATTATTTTTTATTGTTCGGGTGTTGAGAAACATTTTTGCATCATTTTATCATGATAAGAATTCATGAAGTAAATAATTTGCAAATAATTGCAATAAGCACTGACTTCTGAACTGAAAAGAAGGAAAGCATTTCTTGTGCAGTGCATCTGACGTTCATATAATAGTCTTGTACTATACTGTGCTTTATTTACTGCACCATAAAGGAAGAAAAATCCCTGTTCCATGTTTTCATTTAATGCAGGAAATCCAGTTTTCCCCCTCTTCCCCAGTGTTTTGTTGTCTGTTGTACTGCTGAAACTACAGTAGTTGAATATTGCAGTAGCATTTCAGTTATTTTTTTTATTGAAAGTGCTCAAAAATTGTTTTTTAAATGTTTTCAAAAACAATAAAAACATTTTATATTAAAATGATTTCTGGATTTTTTTTCTTCATGTGTATGTTAAGGCGGGCCTAAGATACAGAGCATCCTAGTTTGTGTGAAGACATCACAGCTGTGTGGTTGTACTGACTGGCTGCAGGTGCTGAGCCCAGGCTTACACTGCAAGCTGTGCATGAAGGTGAATCTTCCTGCCTTGGAAACCTTGAGTAGTTTGTGCTGTCAGAGTAATCTGTTGAGAGAATTTGCAGAATTTATGTGCCAATTCTGCAGTTATCCCTTCTTAATGTGGAAATTTCTTGTGTGACAATACTATTGAATTTGGAGGGAAAAAAGAGGTTGAAACGGACAGGTCAAATATACCACCAGACGTGAAAATATTGTTGTCTGAGGCCGTACTTCAGAACATGGTGGTGATAGTTGTGCCAGTTGCCTTGTGCAGCTTCTCAGTGCTACAGGAATCTCAGTGTGGATTCAGGTCCAAGTATTAGATTTGTGTCTGGGTGGTGGATTTTGCTGCCGTCCTACAACATAGCGGTGCTGCTAGAGTCATCCGCTGTGGCAGTGCTTGGCTGGTTTCACTTTTCTATACTGGTAAAGCAGTCTTACAAGACACCGTTATGATCCATCATGACTCGCCGTAGTGGAAAAATATGCTGATGTATGGAGTCCTTTACTTGTGTTATAAAAGCAAGCAATGCTGCCAGCATAGCCTACGTAAATACAACAGAGAAGTACTGCCGTGGAGTAAAAGCTGGCGATGAGAAAATGAACATGAGGATAAATACTCAGGTTTTGATGCCCAAAAGATGGCACAGACTCCATCCTGGACTATGGAAGTAGTCACACGAGTTGGCAGGTGGCAGATTTGATGGTAGCAAAAGTAACTTAGTTCAGTCCACAACAGAGAATCGTCAGGGAGACGTAAATGAAGCAGCATGAATGAAGAAGCATCAGAAAGATGAATTTTACTATAACACCAGAGGGGATACTATTAATACATCTCATTGGGTTCTAAATTAACATTCCCCAAAAAAACATTTTCCACTATTACAAACAATATGCTGACACTTTAACCACATATTCCACAGTCATAAGAAAAAGTGCAAACTAAAATTTGCCAAGGAATGGAGTGGAAAATAGTGTAGGAGATACAAAAGCCTTTTTTTTTTTTTTTTTAAACATTTGGTAGATCATCTGAAGTTTTAATCATAAGAGCAAACAAAGCTGTGCATGGAAATGGAATAGAAATGACTAGATGTTGGTGTTTAACCAAGACATCCAGAGTAAATTGTATAAAAAAATAAAAACCACCACCGCCACCAAAAACCACTGCTTGGAAGTATTTTCACATCTCCAGAAATCCCAGTCTGCATCTGTGAATGCAGCCGGTATTCTAGTAAACAGAATTTGCCCTCTAGGATGATAAGGACTGCTGCATTAGCCAGTGGTTCATGTACTCTATACAGTGACTCTGGGACTCGGTAACATCACCTTCTCCAGAAAAAGAAGCCCTGCGTTATGAGGTGGTTGCAGAATAAAACCACCTCCACAAATGCTGCTCTCCCAGACCCAGTAACTGGATGCCCAACCTTGACACAGTAGTAGATTGGAGCAGGGTCTGGGACTAGGTGACCTTCCTTTCAACCTAGCTCCATCAGTTTGTGTATCAGATTGGAGAGCTGAGGAAATCTAACTGAATCTGGCATTGAAGCACGGCTGCTCTCAGTCAGACGAAGCTTAAGCACAATATTTGATGATCATCAATTCAGTTGCCAGCAAGCTTTTAATTATTTAAGCTTCATGTGATGGATAAGACAGAAATAATCAATACTTGGATCTTGGCTGCCCTCTTCCCCCCCGTTAAAAATGAGTGAGTTAAGCTTGGATAAAGAGATGAAGCACATGATGAATGCATAGTGAGACTTAGAAATTGTGTAATAACTGAAAACCAATTTCAGACTTAAGAAATCAGCAGTGACCTGATGATGCTTAAGACGTTTCTAAACAATGCTTACACGGAAGTGCAAGGAAACTTACCGTTCTAGTGGTGTATATGCTGTTGACCTGCGTGGTATTTCCAATAGTTACCTGTCGCGATCCTGACGTGAAGACTGCTGCACAACGAGGAGTTAGTGCTACACACAACACTCAGCACTTAACCTGAATAGGTGCAGGGTGCTGTCTGCACAGCTTGGATTCATGCCTGTGTTCTGCACATAACCCCTGGCTGCAGGGGAAATTTGGCAAGGTAATTGTAATAGAGGGGCCTGCCTGCAACTCCCACGTGGTATTGGTGATTACACTGTCTGTGTGTCCTTGTCTTTATTTATAAAGTGCAGCAACTTCTCATGTGAACATCCTTTCTGCTTGACAGTAGAAATGATGAACAGGGTTGTTTTCTTTTAAGATTTTTTTTTTAATAGCCCAAGTGACCAAAATGGGGTAAGTTTTCAACAGACAGTGTCTGCACAGCGTGCTCTATGTGAATTGGAGGCATGTTCATAGCATAGTTTGGTCTTCACAGCATCTGAAAGTATGTAGAACTATCTGTGCTGTCCTCGCTTTCTTCATAGTGCTAGCTCTAACAAACAGCATTTTAAGCAATACTTCACAGTACCTCTGCCATTGCTAACATAACAAACCAGCACCTCCTGCTACCTAATTGACATTGACTAATACAATTGCAAATCTGTTAGCTAAAAAAAAGGTAAAATATAAACTAAGCAAAGCTGATTCAGTTCAGTCAAAAGTCAGTTCAGTCAAAAGTGAACAGAGCACATGAGAAGTTTGCTTAGAAAATGTATAGTGCTGAAAAGACTGCAATTATTCAGTGTTTAAATACTCAAAATACAAGACTACCTTGATATAATGCAGAATTTTATAACCCAGTGGTTATAGTTCTTGATAGGTCATAACATTTCTGCTACGTGCTTTGAATATGCAGGAGATATCCTACTGGTGATGTCAATACTCAAGATGGTTGCCTTGGAACATTTACATATCTATTCACCAATTGCTTTGTCGTCTATTCTCCCTCGGCCTGCCTACCTGTTTTCTAAATCTGGTAATGCCTCATCTCTGCAATTATTAAAAGGTTCTATTTTTGCCCCCGTGGTTCATCTTTCCTCCATTGTCATCTTCCTTTAATAAACTGCTGCTTTTTTATGGACTATTGTAAATTATGTATCATTTGAAACTTTGCCTGCCCATACCAGCTGATCAGATGATGTCCATTAGAGTCATATTTTCAGTGGACTTCAAGCTGCTCTTTCAAATGTTTTTAATTTGCAGTATGCTATTGATCTGGAATGAATTCTATTTTATGTGCATTTTTTTTTTCAACCCCAACTTTAAAACTGTACTGGAAAAGCTAGTCCAAGGGTGGAAATGAGTCTGAGCACTGAAAGAAGGGAAGTGGTCACTGCAGGCTTCTTTGGGGAGGTGACCTACTCATCTCTACAACTTTGGGCTTCTCAGCACGCTTACTTTACGGAGCTATTGGGCTCCCTCTTCTCAAATACCCTTGGTTTGTTTTTGTTTTTGTTTTTCAGTATGGATGGATACACACAGATCTATAAATGTATATAATTGTAAACTAACTGATTAGGACTCACTCATCTGCTTTCTCCAACAAAAGTATCCCTGAGTCTTCAAAGCACCTGCTCCGTATCAGTACTGCAACAGGAGAGCTGTGTTCCAAGGGCAGTGATAATCAGACTCCAGAGAGTAAAGCCCAGTTCCTCCTTGCCGTGAGACAAGAAGTGGAATGCATTCTGAAATGCACTGTTCAAAACACTTTGCATAAGCAATGATTATTTCTGACCAGAACAAACTGCTACTTGTTTCTGTTACACACAGCTTTGAACATCCAGACAATCTCTCCTCCTATGTACGTGTGGATAGAGGGGAGACAAAGCTCCTGTGTCCAAGAGGCCCCCATTCAGAGGTTCTTGAGCAAATGGAATAACTAAAATCTACTCTGACTAGGATTACTCGTGGAAAGAAAAATTTACGCAGGGAGAGAAGTAAAGACAGGAATGCATAAATGCTGCTCAGTTACCCACCCAGTCAGAGCAGTAGCTTCCTGTAGTCTTAGCAATGTTTCAGGCACTAGCAAAGAGCATCCAATATGTACTACTTCAAACACATATGGAGAATGATAATCTTAAGATGTCTGAAGAAGAGAGGTCCAAATACGTAATCTCTGGAAAGATCTTACTTCTGTGACATTATGAAGGGTTGAGCTGCTAGCAAAAATATCCACAAAGACTGTGTTAACCATGGGATCACTGGCGGTGAATTAAGCTGGGAACAGTGACAGCAGTTGACTGGAGCTCAGCACCTCCGGTTTCTGTTCTGGCAGCTCTCCTCCCCCTCAAGCTGAAAATAGAGAGAGAAAAATGACATCTGAGTGATGGTGATTCAGACAAGTGTTTACTGCTTCATTCAAATGCATATGCACAAGATGAGTATGACTTCCCACCTCCACCATAGTTGCTCTTCTTACTATGCAGGTTTGCTCATCAATCTAGAGAGATTTCTAAAATTGCTTGTAAACTGTTATACTAGTCACAGAAATTAGGAAAAATGTTTCTTACTGTACATCTTCCCCTTCTCATAGCCTCCCCCAGTGAGAGCTGGAGATTTCAGCAGCTTTCCCAGGGGATGGGGATCTCCATGGGGGGTGACAGAAGGAGCTGGCCTGGAGCAGGTGTTAGTGTCTCGGGAACATGGGCCCACACTTAGGGAGCAGTGTGTGGAGAGGTGCTTGCTGCTGGTGTTAAATTTGGTATGCAGGCGGCCCTGAAAAGGAGATACTTGAGTGGGGAATTTCTGGTTCACATCTGGTCCTTGGGAATAAGAACCCAAAATGGGTTGAGAGGGAGGAAAACGCAGGGGGTGGAGCTATATTTTTTCTTGTAATAGCTGTGGCCATTTGCAGTCGGCCATTTCACTGAAGGTTGGCCCAGCAGTGACAATGCAAGTCAGGAAAAGTTCTTCCCGTGCAGCAAAAGGTGCCCAGATGGG